TGCGCGCTGCCCGCCGGCGCCCTCCCCCACCGCTCCCGCGGCTCGGAAAAAAGTTTCAACAACAACAAGCGGGGCCAATCGCGGCGCGGGAGCGGAGAGGGGCTGGCGAGGGCTCCAGAGCGGAGAAAGGAGCGGGCGGCTCGGAGCGCAGGCCGGCGCGGGGCTGCAGCGTCGCGCAGTTTTTGTTTGTTTGCTTTTCCATGCATGCATAATGAGGGGGCGCCCGGCCCGCTTTTGTATTTAAAGCCTCGCCGCGAGCGAGTCCGCAGTCGGGCTCAGCTTATCCGTTCCCCGGGCTCCGGTGCCCGAGAAGCCGCCGCCGAGGAGCCAGGACTGCCGGCCGCGGGCGCCGCGCTCTTGTTCGCGCCCCCCGGACGCAGCTTCGCCAGCTCGGAGAGGCGAGGGGGAGGGGACGCGGCCGGGCAAGGAGGGCGGCGACGACGGACGAGGGCCAGGAAGCGGCGCGATGCGAGAGTCGGCGACCGCGGCGCGGCGCTGAGCCCCGAGGAAGGAGCTGCCGCGGCCGCCCCGCGGATCTGCAGCGCCGAGCAGAATGCACCCGCAGCGCCGCGCGCTCCTGCAGCCCCGCCGCCGCCCCGCGGCCCGCAGCCCCCCGGGGCGGCAGTGAGCGCCTCCCGCCACCGCCTGGGGCCGAGCGGGCCCGTGCCTTTCCAGGAAGCCGCCGCCGCGCTCGAGCAGGAGCCCACTTCTGCCAGCAGCGGGGCAGCGGCCGGCGGCACGCATGGATTTATGAAGACGCTCATGCAAGAAGGGTGCAGGACTCGGGCAAACTTTTCCGCTGGCTCCGCGTCCGCCGCTCCCCTAGCCTCCGCTCCTCTCCCCTCCGCGCCCGGCGGCCGCCGCTGCCCGCGATGGTCCCCGCGCTGCTGGGCGGCGGCGGCGGGGCCCGCGGGGGGACCGTGCCGGGCGCCTGGCTGTGCCTGATGGCGCTGCTGCCGCTGTTGGGCTCGGCGCCGCGGGGCCCCGGGCTTGCGCACGGCCGCCGCCTCATCTGCTGGCAGGCGCTGCTGCAGTGCCAGGGGGAGCCGGAGTGCAGCTACGCCTACAGCCAGTACGGCGAGGCGTGCGCTTCGGTGCTGGCGCAGCTCGGCGGGGGCGACGCGCCGGGAGCACCCGCCGCCTTCCCGTCGCGCTGGCGCTGCCCGAGCCACTGCATCTCGGCGCTCATTCAGCTCAACCACACGCGCCGCGGGCCCGCGCTGGAGGACTGTGACTGCGCGCAGGACGAGAACTGCAAGTCCACCAAGCGCGCCATTGAACCGTGCCTGCCCCGGACGAGCGGCGACGCGGGCGGCCCGGGCGCGGGCGGAGTCATGGGCTGCACCGAGGCCCGGCGGCGCTGCGACCGCGACAGCCGCTGCAGCCTGGCGCTGGGCCGCTACCTGAGCCACTGCGGTAAGGTCTTCAACGGGCTGCGCTGCACTGAGGAGTGCCGCGCGGTCATCGAGGACATGCTGGCCATGCCCAAGGCGGCGCTGCTCAACGACTGCGTGTGCGACGGCCTGGAGCGGCCCATCTGCGAGTCGGTCAAGGAGAACATGGCCCGCCTGTGCTTCGGCGCCGAGCTGGGCACCGGCCCGGGCAGCAGCGGCTCGGACGGCGGCCTGGACGACTACTACGACGAGGAGTACGACGACGAGCAGCCGCGCTCCGGCGGCGCGGGCGCCGAGCAGCCTTCGGACGACGACGACAGTGGCGCGCGCCCGGGCGGCGGCGCTGCGGGTCCGGGAGGCCGCGGGGACCTGCCCTCGGGGCCCGGGCGCAGGAGCGGCAGCCGTGGCCACCGCGCGGCTCCCCAGCTTGCCTGGACTGCGCTCAGCTCCATCTTGCTGCTGCTGCTCCGGCCTCTGTTCTAGTCGCGCCCTCGCCGGGCACCTGCGGCCTGGGACCGCGAGCGGAGGGCAGGGATGCCTGGGCCTCGCCGCGCCGGGGCTCTTCCCTGTCGCTTCTCCCGAGCACGACTCCTTGGAGCTCCTCTCTGCCCCCACTGCAGGCTCCCGAAACTGCACCAGGCTGGGGCTGTGGGAATCTAGCTGTAGAGCTCTGGACGCCCTGGAGGAAACGGCGTGGGGGCGGGGGGGGGGGGACCCAAATCTGAAAAGTGCTGGCCGTCGGGTCCTAACACTTCTGAGGGACTGAGTTTAAAGCTGGGGTGGGATGTGAAGGAGGAATTAGACACAAAAGGGCTGTTGATTAGCGTTTTTCTTGTGAGGGGAAAAAATTGTGCTTGTGGCCAGTGAGGACGCACCAATTGTAAGCAAAGAGAAAATTCCCACGTAGCGATTTATTCGTGCACTCTTGGTATCAACACGCAGAGTTCTCAGTGACGTTTGGTGGCAGGCAGTGACTGCCTTAGGAGGGACTCCTAAATTAATTCTGATAACTTGGAGCCGTTGGCCTTAATCTCATTGCTACTATTCTGATATCGTAGCACATTTCTTAGGGTTAAGAGTCCAAACATGCTGATCTGCAGAGTTACTATGGCATTGAACAATGCAGCTTTTTATTTAAAAAGCTCTGCACCGCCATCTATGATGTTTGTGTTGCTGTCATTTTTGTTCTTTACATCAAGAAACTGTATGTTCACATATGCGGAGAACATACTGCCTCTGCCCCTATCAGGGTGCTGAACCCTGGTACATCGTATATAAAGTGTATTAAAACTGGGGTTTGTTACCAGTTGCTGTACTTTGTATATATAATTTTTATAAATTGTATGCTTCAGAAATAATTTATTTTTAAGAAGAAATTAAAAGTTTTAAATCCACATCCATGTTAAATCTTTTTCCCCCAGAAATGTATAGAATCCGCTTGTCACCAGGGATCCAAATCCAGAATCCATTTGGAAGTGTGGTCTATTGAGAACAGCCTTAAAATGTACAGTATATTTTATAGATTTGAAGTAACATTCTTATTTTCAAGAGAATTTATGGACACTGTAGAAATGTATAAATGCATTTTCAAACTGCCTTAAACATTGTATTTTTATAGACCTCATTTTTTAAAGTCCTATGATTTAAATAACTATGGCTCTGTGTACTTTTTGGTTATTTGTTTTATTAAAATGTGTACATCAGTAAAGAGATTATAAACAATGATACCGTGTAGTTGCTTTCCAGAGTTCCACTTTTTCCACCCCAGTAATAGGTGAGGAGGGGTGTACAGGGGCACTGGGAATCCTCCAATCACCAGTGGAAATTAAAATGCAGTACAAGACAAACGTGGGCGATTTCTGCTTTTAATTTAATGAACAATTAGACATCTGTAAATGAGGCAGCTAAAAAGATATGTGACTGACCTTCATTGATTTTTTTCAATGTGCAGAGAATTCACAAAGTGTCTTCCGAGCATAATTTGAAGACAACCCCAGCATCACCCCCCCGCCCATGAGCCCCTACCCCAGGAGTGTCCTCTCTGGCTACTAGACGTTCTCCTATAATCAAACATGCCAATAACATCTGCTACCAATAGATCCTAGAAAACCTACAAGACTTAATACTTCAAAGTCATTTTCACACTTTTGATGAAAAAGTACAAAATTTTGTTGCAAAACATTCCCCACAGCAAAAGTAAACATACTGGGGAGAGGAATAATTACCAGAACTTGTAATATTGTTGTGAAGAGTTGTTTAGCAGTGGGCTGAAGGCTGGGCTTCTGCCAGAGCTACTGATCTACACTCAAACGCCCTTAGATAAATAATTACACTCTTAAGCTGTGTCGAGTGCTGATACACTTGACCTTGTAAATAGAAATGTTTGCAGTAGGAATAAACTCCAGCATTGGAAAATCTTTTAAACATTAACACAAAAGAGAGCACTCTGTCCTCTGGGGATTTGAGCCTGAACTTCGCCAAGCTAGGCACTTGCAAGGGGGAAAAAAAAGTTTATTTATCTTCTATTCCTGGTGTTTATTTAAAGCTTTTCATTTTAAACGCCATGATTGGAAGGCAAGTCAGGAGTTTAAAAGTCACCACAAATAAACTTTGTCTGAGGGGTCGACAGATTAGCAAGATCTGGTGTCTCTTTATTTGATATTAACATGTGCTGAGAAAACATAACCAGATTTCTCTGCTGCCTAAAGTAATTAACAAAGCTATGCCCCTTCCAGCTTCCTCCCACCCATTCCCACCCCCTGCTTGCTTGCAAGGTTTCTTTTTCCTCTCACTCTTTCCTGGCTTTTAGGGAGGGATTCCAGGCACTTCTTGGTCCACATAAAACGGAGATTATATGCACATATAGATATTCACGAAGTATAAGATAGTTGTCTTACCAGGAGAGCAGTCACCCGAATGGTTGAGTAAACATATTGTTAAAGCTGAGTGTCTTGTTTCTTTGGGAAGTGAACAAAGAGTATTCCAAGAGACATGTAAGTGAAATCAGCTTTCTTTACCAAAAAATAAAAATAAAAAATAAAAATAGCAGGAGTTAGCAGTGCTCCTGATTTGTCCTTAAATATATTTAAATCATCTCCATCTCATGTTATTTTAACACATTCTTGATGAAAAGTTAAGTCTTTGTCCCAGTAAAAGGCCCAGTTTTCCCCAGTAAGAAGTAAAAGGCATTAGCACTAGAAAAGGCCTGATAATTAACTGCTACAATAAACTCACAACTTGATTTTACAGGGTCCTGTCAAAAGCATCTGCCTGGAATAAATCAGCCAGCTAGCCTTGGGGAGAGAGGACTTGAGGCTTTATGCTTTCTTTCTTAAAGAAAGTGAACATTGATCTGTAGTCCATTTTGTGTAATTTAAACAATTATGGACCAGAGCCCAGAAGTCCCTGGCCTCCCTACAGATCTAGTGGATTCCAAAACAGGTTGTTGAAATGTCAGGGCCCTGGACTGTTGGTTGAGGGCTTGTGTGTTGCCATCTGCTTCTAGATAGAAAGGATTTTTACAGATGTTGACATCTGTAATATCTCACACTCTCCGGGGAGCCGGTTGGAATCCTGGACATTTAGCAGTCTCAGATGTCTCATGGAGATGCCTGGAAGCACCATTAACAAATGAAAAGGTATCCAGCTTCTCCTGAGAACTCTCAAAAAGTGCCCTCCCCAGAAGTTTTCCAGAGTGGGAAGGACCCCTGTGGATTTCCTGTAAAGTCATGGGTCCCACAGCCTTCCCATTTCCCCAGTTAGCAGGTTGGAGTTCTCAGTGACAGTTTATTTGTCTTTGGAGGCACTTCAGTGACAAATGTTTAAGGGAGTGTGGGACAATGGTTGAGAACAAGGGGGCAGTTCATTGAACTGACAGTGACCATACAGTAAATAGAAGGAGGTTCAGGCTTCACTGCCCACCCGAGCACACAGCAACGCTTTTGTATATGATCACAATGGACATAGCATAAGGTCTCTGTTTATTTTTAACAATATATAGCAGTGTACATGGCCATGCACATACAATAAAGTGTGAAAATGGCTGTAAAGAAGTAAATTCTACTGAACAACAGGAGGTCGTTGAACTTGGGCAGCACCTTGCACACATCCACAAGGAAGAAAGCAGCTCCAGGCCCTGACTGCTGTAACTTTAGGGGCCAAAAGGCCCTGACACAACTGGATGGTACCACGGGTCTCCAGTGGGGTCTGAGAAGGGGAGATCCAATAGCATGTGTCTACCCCAAGAGTCCAGGAAAACCACACGGCAGCAGGGTGCTTCCTTTCCTTCCCCATATCAGTGCCCTCATCCCCATCCCAGAAATGTTACATGGCCTTGAAGAACTCCAGAATTTCCTAAGCCTCCAGAACTTCCTAAGACATTAAGCAGTATTGGAAATCTCTCTACAGCACCTTCAAACTTTGGCTTTGCATTCCAAGCTTATTGAGTTCACTGTGGAAACTTTCTAGTATAACTTCACATTTATCTTTTCAGAGCAGAAAAAAGAGAAGGAGAATTTACTTTTTGACCTCTTGCAACAAGGAGCCTCAGAAATGTTGTCATTTGACTTAGTTTCTCCCAGCTACTCAAAGCAAAGTTGCTGGGGAACTCACCTCACGTTATGGATGACTTGTGGCCAGAGGACTTAGGAGAGAGCTGGATCAGCTGCCTGTGAGTTAAGTTGGACTTTACTGTATTCTGAGAGATTGCCCCTGGAAGACAGTGGCAAGTATTCACCTCTGACCATTGCAATGACAGAAGTAATGCGCTATTAGCATAAATACCTTCTAAGGCATTCATTTAATCAATTTCTTAAATAACAGAATGATCTACTACAAAATAGTGGACTGTATACACTATATTTCGGCACAAAGATGGTCATTCTCCCACTAGTAACCAGGGCTCTAAATAAATGATTTCAACAATGTTTTATTAAAGGACGACAAGAGCCCTCGAGCTGCATTAATCGGGGAGAAGTCGAGTGGCACTTTTGTTATGGAAATGTTAAGCATATAATAGCAGGGCCAAACAATGTGCAGCCACTTCATTCTTTCAGCCATGCTGACACCTCTTAAAGAGGAACTGCAGGGAAGGATGTGGGAAAGATTTGCTTTCCTAGAAAGCTTTCAGCTCATATTTTGGAGGGCTACCTCTAAACGCTGTAATATGTGTGCAACAGAAGCCCAAAGGGCTGCTGGGAGGGAGAAAGGGTTTCCATCCAGTATTTCAAAAGCACAGGTTTCCCAATAAAATCAAGTCTACATTTTTTGGTGTGGCATTTGTCAAAACAATATTTTGCTGGTTAGATTGAGTTCAATTTTAAAAAGTTGATGGTGTTCAATATGTAGCTATGTTCTCCTTAAGCAAACAGAAGGTATTCTAATGCCCCCGGACAGGTGAATACACACAATGTCACCCAGCATATCTTCAATTTGTACCAAAAAATAAAGTGATAGTATCTCTTCCCAGGCTTTACAGATACCCTTGGGGTTTTTTGGATATCAGTATGTATCCTTAGAAGCATATTTCACTCTTATAAATTATATAGGTTATTTGAAGTTTCTTAGATACCAGAGGGGGTAACGTCTCACAATTATGCCACATTGTATACCTTATCCCTGATCAGATACTGCTGAGCTCTAAAATAAGGAACATTTCAGTCAGATTTGAGGCCTCTTTTGAAGAAGTTTCTTTTATGAAAGTGTCTCCCTTCAACTTTCAATTTTAACCTATATCACTTTTTACCTATCAGATAATGCACCTACTTGGAGCATTTTTCTAAACAAACATTGACGTCAGCTCTTGTGTTGGCTAAAGTTTATGTCTGTACTCATGAACCAGTGCTAGGGAGCATGAAGAGGTTCCTCAGTCTTGCACTGTGGGGTACTGTGTGCAGTGGTGCCCACAGGGACAAAATACTGCCCTATTCCTACACAAGCTGAGCCAGGAAGGGGACACAAACACACAGACACTATTAACCCACAAAAGCAAGCACAGAAGAGGATGGCTTAGCCCAACATTAGTTTGAGAAAGCTACTTAGAGAAGGTGACACTGAAGGTAAGTCTAAAGTCAGGCTTAGGAGTTTTCTAAGAGGAAGGTGAGAAGGACATGAACAACAGCCGAAGGCAGGCGACAGGAAGAAGCAAAGTGTGGTGGTGTTTCTTGCATGAACACTACAACCAAAGCATGATGAAGGACAGGGCTTGAGAGAAGGTCTGGCACAGAATGGTGGAAACCTTGAAGGTCCTGCTAGGGTGTAGACTTTCCCCTTCACAGTGTAGAGGACAGGGAGCTTCTGAGGGCTCCCAGCTGAGAGATCCAGAAAGTCAGCTTTTTGTGCAGAGTATGAAGGTTTCAGGGAATGAAGACCAGAGATGCAACACTAGTTAGGAGGCCATCACAATGCCCAGTGGAGAAAGATGACCTACCAGTCAGGTGAGGAAGAAGGCAGATTCAAGACCCTGGGATTGGTCAGACATGGGTGCAGGAGTGGCGGGTAAGCCAGTAGGACTGCTACTGGGTTTCTGGGTCAGAAGCTAGGGAATTGGTCCTAAGAGAAGAAAGCTTGGAGGGTGAGCGATGTTTGAGGACAGTTACAATACCTGGGTCATGGTGCACTGCAGGACACCAACTCTGAGTCTGACACTCAAGCAGCAGTTGGCTATAGACAGAGGGGCTCATCCTCACAGAGCAAGAGAAGGACAGCAAAGGAGTCATCACTAGAAG